AGCTCAACGCTCAATACAATTGAGTACATCTAGTATATCATACTAGAGCAGCAGAAAATTTAAAGGGAATATTAATTCTTCCTTTGGGGATGTGTTGCGTTTGAGATTCTAATAGGATTTCTAGAAAATGTTCTGAACTCATTTATAGTGGTTTGTACAATGCTTACAAAAATAGATACTCAAAGTTTGTTGGTTAAACTGGAATCTATCATATAAGCTAACTCTATTTGGTTCAGTTATATTTTCTTTAAAGTCATATTTTTAAAGATATTTTAGATAGATGAATGTAAGGATTTCTTTCCTCACTGTCTTTGAACAATAAACTTTTAAAGTTTGAGTGAGAAAATCTGTGGCCTGTAACATGGAAAGAAAACATTCTAGGCGAGATAGATCTTGGTTTATTTAATGAATATTAAACAATAAAGAATATAAGATGAAATTAAATAATAATGGCAACTCTTCTCTGACCTCCCCCCCCCCCCAAAAAAAAAACTGGAAAGTTTTTCTATGACACCAGAATTAAGGAAGCTTACTGGTGTTAGTTCTAGGCGATGTTTGCCAGAACTTTTTTTTTAAAGATTTATTTATTTATGCATACAGAGCTGGGGTACAGGCCAGAGGTGCAGGGGTGGTGAGAGGATTCACCAGAAACATAGTGGGGAGCAGAACAGGCAGATCTGCTGAAATACACTGTTGAGGGGAACAGCGGGCAGATCAGGAGTGATCTGCTCACCATATGGGTCACCTCCGAGTTAGGATGGAACTCATGCTGAACTGGCTTTAGCTTCTTAGTGATGTGCTTTAACCTGCTGCACCACCAGGGAGGGCTGCCATTTTTTTTTTTTTTTAATGGCTGAATCAAAAACTCTATGTCTGCTAGAAAATAGGGATATCACCCAAGGTTTGTACAACCCCTAAGGCTAATTAGCAATAACTTAAAAATTGGTTTTGCAGCCAGGTTTGGTCTGACAATATTTTTGCATCCCTTCCAGGTTTTAGCCCATTCACTACAGAGATTTGCCACATACTAAAGGAATCATGCAAACCATTCTTTAAAAATGCTACCTGGATCCTGTTGTTTTCTTTATATATATATACACACACATATATATATAACTCAGGTTTTATAATTTTATTTTTCTAAAGATTTATTTTATTTATGTATACAGAACTGGAGTATAGGCCAGAGATTCAGGGGTTGTGAAAGGATTCACCAGAGGCAGAGCCTCCATAAACAATAGAAAAACAAAATTCCATTCCAGACATGAAGAGAAACACCTGCTTTTCCAATTAGCAGGAACATTTTAGTCAAAATTGATGCCTATTCATTGAGAAATTGTTTACAGATTTGTGGTGGCCACCTATTCTTTCTCAGTGCCTTGAGAGATGAAATGTACCCTAAGACCTTTAATGTAACCTATGTCAACAAGAGTCCACTGGAACCAGTTTGTTATGTCTATGATAGAATTCTCAGTCCAAACCAAAGTGAACGCATCAAGAACTTACTATAATGATGATACCCAATCCTTTTCAGCACCTTTGAAACTATTACGGGAGTGGTTTAATTGTACACCCGAAGGTACAAAACTGCTAAACCCAAATTCTTAGGGTTCCAATATAACTTATTCTAATTTTTGCTGCTACTATATGACAAACTTCATTGCTAGCTCATAAGAAAGCCCAAGGGGAAAAAAAAATGTCTATTAGTGAATTTCTTCCTTTTAATTTTTTTTTTGCATCAGACTAATAATGAACTCTTCTCTCTTGCTCTGTTCCTCATCAAACCATCCTTTGCAAGGAGTTTTAGATTTTTTTTTTGATTGCCTGTAATAAGCTAACAGAGATTTAAGAAGTTGAATGATGATTTAGAAAGATTATAAAACATAAGTGTCAGTACTAAAAACTTCTTTAGCCAAGTGATACAAATTGTTAAGAGTTAAGCAACAACTATGCTTCAGTGATGAACAGTTTTAGAGACTAGGTGATAAAAGGAGTCAGGTGAGAAAGATGATCTTATCAGATCTAGTAACTGGAAAGGAAAATGCTCTGAGAAGTTCAGCTTAAACCTGAAAACTTCAAAGTGAATTACATGACTCCAGAACCAGCAGAGATAAATTAGGGGAATATACTGATAGCTTCCCATCAAGCACCCCTTAGAAATAGAGTTTAAGAGAATTTGAGCATGATAATGGCACAAAAAGGTATGAAACCAAATATGTAAAATAATATTGACTGATATACTAAAATCACAGTTTTTTCACATTAATGATTTTTATTATTAATAATTGAGAGCTAATATTCTATTCCTGATGATTCAATGATCTTCTTTGTAGTTCCCAGTTCTATGAATATTAAAGTCAACTAGTTGATGCAGTAACAGGAGATATATTTAATTCAATCACATGGGAAAAGGATCTTCTGTTTTTAACTGGAGTCATGCTAGAAATCATTGGAGAACTTTCTTTTTTTAGATCTCCAGAACACTAAAACTGAAAAAGAGAAACAGATACCCTCCTCCAAAATACTAATTGAAGATACATTTTGCAAATCTTGATATTTGGCAAATAGGATAGGTACTTGAAGGACATTATATTTTATTCTGGAAGAAGCATGTAGATACACAGTATCCTATAGCTTTTAAAATTTTTTTAAAAGACTTATTTATGCATATAGAACTGGGGTACAGGCCAGAGGTGCAGGGGTGGTAAGAAGACTCACCATAGATACAGTGGGGAGCAGAAAAGGCAGATCGACAAAGTACACCATGGAGGGGAGCAGAGGGTGAGTCAGGAGAGGTCTGCTGTGCCACGTGGGTCACCTCCGGGGTGAGGTGGGGATTGAACTCACACTGAAGTTGCTGCGTCCACCTTACAGCGCTGCGTCCTTACCCATTGCGCCACTAGGGAGGGCCCCACAGTATCCTATAGTTTAAAAAATGCTCTAGACACCATGACCAAGCTTCAAGTTGCTAGATTAAAACATAAAATGCCAAACTCTTTCTTATCAATGCAGTTCCTTTTGTCAAATAGAAATATAAAGTGGATCCATTATTGAAACAGAAGAATTAATGTAATGTCACTCATTTTAGGGTAGTCATAAAAAATATGGGGACCAAGATGGATTCTGACAGTCAGCTAAGGGCTGAAAAACAAGATCTGAATAGACCTTTAGTCAACCCAAAAATAACTGCCTCGGGGTTTAAAAAGGGAGGCCCTCTAAAGAAAGAATGAGTGAATCGATCACAAAAGAGACCTCTTCTTCAGTTTCAGCTAAGATTTCTGAGATCTAGAGCAAATAACAGTGGCCAGGAAACCTCACATTTCAAAAACAATGTCTGGACAATATATGCAAAATTTGCAAAGTGTGTGATGCATGAAATCCAGTTTGGCAAGTCCTAATCTCATCAAACTGGTTGGGGAATGAAAACAAAGAAAGAAATTTTTATGTGAGAACTGCTTTGTGGTTTATCTTTCTTTTAGGGGAGTTGCTTCACCCTTGCTTTCAATCAATTGAGATGGGGCTTCAAGAGACCAGCCTAAAAGCAAGAAGGAGACTAACGGAGGTCCTGCCTGGTGGCTCAAGGGGTTAAAGCGCAGCACTGTGAAGCTACCCACAGTCACTGCAGCGTGAGTTCGATCTGTGGCCCGGGAGCTGACCCACATGGCACAGCAGATCTCTCCTGTCTCCCCCCTGCTCCCCTCACCAGTGTATTTCAGTAGATCTGCCTGTTCTGCTCCCCACTCTCTCTGGTGAATCCTCTTACCCCTGACATCTGGGCTACTCCCCAGTTCTTACCTGCATAAGTAAATAAATCTTTTAAAAAATGAGAGTGAGGGAGAGCTACATGGGAGCTGATGTTTTTCCAGCAAGATTGAGAGTGATTCTTATGGACTGAAGGTGGACCAGGGCATGAAGCAAATCTAGTGCTGTTTTGAATGTTTTCCAAGAAAATGCCCGCAGGGACAACATGACCTTCAACAGAGAGAGAAACAGGAAGAAATGCTACCACCTGAGAGGTAATGACATCACCAAAGAGGGTGATGTCGGAAGGTCCCGGCTTGGCATGTCTTCAAGGAAGTCCTCAAGGAAGAATGGATATTCCATCTGAGAGCACTTTGATACACTGCACCTCTGACTAGTAAGTGAGACTTCTGTTGTCCTTAATCACAGCTCTCTAACCTGACCCAACAAAGAAAAGGCTGGAGAAGAAGAATAGCAAGGCAAGATAGAGCACAGGCTATTTTTCCCTTTTGAGACTGAAGTAGCCTGAACCACAGGAAGAAAAATCACTTTCTGTGGTTACCACATAGGACTGGGAATTTTTATACTGTCGTGATAGTCTTCCTGTGTATGATAGCGATTGGGGTCAGAAATTGTTTAAAGGTGTAGGATGTACCTGGTATTATTTGAGCAGCAAGGAAGAAAAAGTTGCAGAAGAGTTTGAAAGAATAGAAGAAAAAGGATAAAATTATTTTCTACTATCATGTCATCTCATCTCATCAGTCAAGCTTATTTAATCAATGGCTACTAATAAAATAAGTGTCCCACTGGGGAGAAACTACTCAAAACATAAGTCGTCTTATAATGCACTGGCTAAGCCAACGGAAGTTCATTGATTAGCACACTGAATAGCCTTGACTTCCAAGCTGCCTCCACTCAAGACATTTGTCACATTCTTTGGACACAGTTTCTGATGCCAAACGTGGAATGCGTTCAACAAGTCCAGAGTTCTTCAGATCCTTGTCTTCTTGTTGCTTTGACCAAGGATCCTAGTTTTCAAGTATCTACATAAATATTATTTTTTAATACCTCATTTTGCAGTCTGGAATTGTGATTACAACAACATGCTTTAACTGAGTGATGGTGAACACATCACCAAACCTCTTCCTGACAGTTTTTAATGCAAAGCAAAACTGACAAGGTAATTAAAGAAACCAGGAAAAATGTTAAAACACCACAAGCAACAAAAAGTCAGAGAGCCAGCATAAATACATAAATACCTCATGGAAATGACATCCACACTTGCCCTGCAAAAACTCCTTGTGTCTTCCCATTGTTATGGAGAATGTGTCCACCACTTCATAGCCATATCTTTTTGCAGCATCCAGAATCATCACATTTTCTTTCCACAAGCTCTGCACTTCACTCTGAGGGGAAAGCAGAAGAACGAGTGTTGTTGTTGTTGTTTTTAATGGAGGACTATCTTGTGATTTAATAACTCATGTGGAAATCATGCAAAGATCAACTTTTTTTTTATTGTAAAATAAAGAACTGGTTTCTCATGCATTTCCCAAATAAAGATGTGTTCTGTTTTTTATTATATGTAAAAACAAACATACCAAAGCAATATATAAATATTTACAAGAAACCACAACCTGGAACTTTCCCTCCTTTGAAAAGTAGCCAGGTTCACTGTCTTCCAGGATATAGTCAAGCATCTAAAATGCCCAATTAAAACAACAAAATTAGAAGATGCTCTCCCCATCCAGTTGGATTATTGATCTAGTCATCTGAATATTCGTTGGCATCTGTTTTGTGTTTAGTTCTGGGTTGAGGGCAAGGAATACAAAGATGAAGGAATCAAGGTGCTGCTCTAATATCTCCCATCTTCGATCAGGAGAAACAGTACTGGGAGATTATCTACAATTTGAGCGGTTAACTTTGCAGGTTCTTGGTTGTGGTAGAAAGGAGGAAGTAGCTCTGCAGATCTAGGGGAACAGTCAGACTTTGAGACTTCAAGAGGGGTCCTCAAGCAGCTGGAGGTATTCCAATTGGATGGGAATGGGAAAGAGAGAAGGGGACAGTGTTTGGGGAGCAACAGAACAGAGAGGAGGTGTCCAACTGCTGCTCCTCTAGAAAGCACACTTCCCTGCCTCTCTCCCACTCTCCCTCCTTCTTGCCCATTATGCCTGACTCTGGGTGATGTATATTGGAGGTTGTGGTCTGAAACTTTTTCCATCTATTTCTACAATCCCCCCTGTATTCGTTGCAGGTTTTCTCCCTACTAAGCCTGCTTATTTGGCTAATCCTGATTTGGTGTCTATTTTATGGAAAACTTAAAAATAACACAGGGAGGTAACTGTGTTTCTTCTCCTTTTTTAAAAGGCAAATGCAATTTTCATTTTCCTGGCAAAAGAGCAAACATGACTCGCATTTGTTCATCCCCTGCAAAGTAAAAGGAGCACTGTCAATGTGTCTCCTTTTTTGTCTTCTTATCTATTTACATGCTTATCAAATAAGGCTAGCGAACAGAGAAAGTGCATAAAGAAGCTGTCTGGAATAAAGAGACAGATACGAATTTGGTCCCTGCCATTGCATGAAAAATGACGTTTGAAACGCTCAGTGTTGTTTATTGCCTTTTATCGAGTTGCAAGTATTTTCTCCACTTCAGTGTGCATAACTGAAGAGTAACTAAGAGTAGATGACACCTTATGGTTAGCAGTCCCAGAGAACACCTTCTAGAAAAAGGTGGGTTCACTGGGAAACAGACTCTGAGGAAGAACTTTGCAAACAGGGGCTCAGAGGAGAGTGCTCAACTCTGCAGGGATGAGGGGGTGAGAGAGAAGGGGTCAGGGGAGCGTGCCCTGCCACACCCTGGCCACAGTGGCTTTTGCAGACCCCACTGGGACTTCCAGAGCTGGCTGGCCCTTCCGGATGATCCAGCTTCACGACAAGGCCTACATCTTGGTCTTCCTGTAGAATTCCTGCAGGAAAACACAACTCACTCCCACTGGGGTTCAGGTAAGTTGTCACTGCAGTATCCACCTAGAAGCCCAAGGAGTGAAGAGCTCAATTCTAAGGAGAGATCTGGGAGCAACCAAATCATAGAAAATATCATTCATTTGCACAAATGATTTTTTGACGGTCTATTACGTGCCGATTGCTGTGCTTTGCATTTGAGGCACAGAGTGAGAAAACTTTAGTGGGATGGGGTGATCAAAGCAGAATCTCTCCATCTCCCATTGAGGTCTCTGCACTATTTTCTTCCTTTTAGGGAGCCACAACATACTTGGGAGCTGTGGCTTCCTTATGGCTAGGAACAGTTAGAACTGATTTGAAATCATGATCCTTAAGCCTTTTGTGTCCTTTGGTTTTTGTGAAGGTTGTAGCGCTTCATCCAGTGCTTATCCAGACAGATCTTTAGTGGAACCAGGAAGTTCATGCAGTCTGGGCAACAGGTAACATTCTTACCTGTGTTAAGAAATGCACTCCATCCACGGGCAGGTGAAATCCAATTCCCAAAGTTTTGATGATCACAATGATATTGAGCAAATTTTGCCTGTGAAGTCATCAGAATTCTGAAGTCACTAAATTTGATGACATTTCTAGATGCTTATTGTTTACATGACTAGTAAGAATTCCTTTTAGAATGTATTATTGGCATGTAGGGTGAAATTCTCATTTTATTTATTGGATATATGTTAAGCTTTTTAGTGTCATGAGCATGATTTGATCATAGTAATTATAAATTTATTATTTTTTTTGTGTGTGCACAGAAGTACTAGGGTGTAGGGAAGAGGTAAAGTGAATGAGAGAATTCACTAGAGGCAGAGTGGGAAGCAGAACAGGCAAACTGACTGAAATAAGCTGCTGAGGGGAGCAGCGGGTGAGACAGGAGAGGTCTGCAGTGCCGTGTGGGTCAGCTCCCTGGCCAGGGATTGAACTGGCTGGAGCAGTGATAACATTGAGCTTTAACTCTTAGGCCACCAGGGAAGCCTCATAACTATAAATATGAAAATATGGACACTGAGTAGTTATTTTGTGTTTGGGTACCAAAATATTTTGAATTATTCTACAGTAGGCTTTAAGGACTTAAGTAAGTTGCTCTTTAAGTAAAATCATGATAAAATCCAGTCATTGATAGCAACATTTTTAAAACTTAGAATACTCATGACAATTATTGTTGTAGAAATTTACCTTTTTAAAACTTTGTGAATAATTTGCAGGTGATTGGAATTAAGCCACTGAACACCACCAACAACCAATATAGTCTGGGCAGAATTCTCCAGGGGCCGTGATCTGAAATCCAGAAAGAAAAACAACACATGTTACCTTAAAACAGATGGTAAACATTTTAACAGCACTGCCTCACATTTCATTGAACCATAGCTGGTATCCTGATCACAAGCCTCCTTGTCATTTCCAACTCATTTGCAGCCATATCACTTGGTATTTAAGCTTTTCAACACAGATGATATAGAGTGAACAATTACGACTGCTAATAAAACATCAGTAATAGTCCTTTGTACCTTTGCAAGAGATGCTCAAGTGCTTTTTCAAATGTTGGTCTCAATGCAGAGCTTATCCAGAACTGGGGATAGTAGGAATAACTGATCAAAGTCTTCCCACCATTGACGTTGTGGTAGAATTTAGTGCCATGGGCCTTCTGCCATTCCTGCAAGGTTTCATTCAGTCTCTCCATCAGGTAGTACATGATCCCTCTGTTGGTGGAATCGCCAATGAAAAGAATCTATAAATTAAAGAAAGAGATTTGATTTCAAATGTGATGTTTACATGCTATAGGAGAAAATCTAAAAAGTAATTTGTTGAATACTCATAAAGCTGTATCACTAATTGCTTGAAGGATTAGCCCTCAATGTGTGAGAAGTGCTATTCAGTTCTCCTCTAAAGCTATTCATTTTCCTTTCTTCCATATTTCTAGTAATGTCTTCACGTACTGACATACTAGCTCTTGTTTATAGCTTTTTCCTCATGTTATCTTTAATATCTCTATCTCCCATATGTTCTTTTTTTCCCCTCCGCTAATCAGCTTAACACATTTCATTGATTCAAATGGGCATGAATTATTTTAGAGCTATAAGGGTACCTAGAGATTTTCAATCTCTGTTTCATAGATCAGGAGGCTAGGAACCTACAAAGGTTTGATAGAGGTCTTTGCACTACTTGAGAAAAGAGCCACGGGACTAGACTCTGATTGCCTGAAAAGCAGTGTATGTCCCAGGTACATATTCTAGAGCCATTTTCTGGAAATTTCTCACGCCCATGAGTGCTTCTCCCTTCCATCATCAGAGCCCTACTTTACACTCCATTGGTGCAGACTTGTGCTTTGCAATATTCTTCTAAAGGATCTTCCTTCTTGCATGACGGTGACCTTTTCATTTATTCTATACACAGTCTTCCTTGGATACATTTCCAAATGCCCACTCTGGTCATCTTGTTTTCATGATCAAATCTTACTGGCCCCTGGTTTTCTGTAGAAGCAAGTCTAAGTTCCTTAGAGTCAACTAAATTTGCTGATTTTGTATTGTGTATCAGGTTTTACTAGTTAGGGATTTCAAACAGGTACTCACTTTTAATCTTCGTAATTGTGAGTCTTGAATAATTATTGGTTTCATAGATGAGCAATTAGAGGCTCAGGGAGACTTAAATCATAAATCTATAAATGGGAAATACAGACTCAAGCCCAGGTTCTTCATGTGCAAGGTAAATGGGCCTTATCCCAGCATTTCCTCTCAGAGAAGCAGCTCAGATTCCTACTTTTCATTGATCATGATTTGCACTCAACAACATCTGTTTTTCCTTGTGCTAATCCATCAGCCTAAAAAGTTTCCCCCTCTGCAACTCCACCCATGTAAATGCTACATAACCACAAAACTGACACAAACGTCTCTCTCAGGTCCTGGCCAGTGCTCCAGCCAGAATGACCTCCTCTGTTCTCTGTGATTTCATTGCATTTCCGATTTTCACTATAGATTTTATCAAAGACTACATGACATAATGGATATTTGTGTCTGTGACTTTGTTGTTTTCCCCCATATGGTATCAAGAAGTATTTGCGGTCAGTCAAAGTTAATTTCTAAATCGTATTTCCCTCCCCTCCCACTCCCATGTATGCACTTTAAAATATTTTATTGAACTGAGCGTCAAAGGGACTTTCATTAGGGACAATCCTTTTAATGTCTTTGGGTAAGGCTTATTTAGTTCTTCAGTTTTCTCCTTTTCTCTCTCCTGTGATTTCTCCCATTAGTCATTTTCTTCTGATGGTTACAGCAGTCCCTGACATCATTTCTTAGACTCTGCATTCCCACAGTGAACTCAGTGGCAATCTGAAAAAGGTTCTCCTGTCCACGGTAGGTGTATTCAAATAGCTATATGAAAACCAGAAGCATCTCCAATTTGCCTTCAGCTCAATTACTGCTGCCACAACATTGTCAACCTAAACTGAGTGACTTAAGATGTCAAAACTCAAGCCACTGATCTTGATCAAGCTCCATTATTAGTAACTATCCACTCTTTTATATGCCAGGGATGCCATGGTGAAGTGCCAAAGGTTGGGCGGCTTACAGTTTGCTTTTTCATAATGCTCCTGCTAGAAAACCAAGATCAAGGTATATGTTGCTGGCTTCTTCTGAGGGCCTCTCTTTTTGTCTTGCATATGGCCATTCTCTCTCCGTGTCTTTCCATGGCTAATCCTGTGTGCGTGTCTGTCCTAAACTACCTTCATATAAGAACACCAGTCCTACTGGACTAGGGGCTGCCCATCATTTTACCTTAATGACCTCTTTAAAGGGCCTTACATTCAGAAATACAGGGTTTTAGGACTTCAATGTACGAATTTGGCTGGGTGAGAATGAAATTCAACTCTTAAACCTTTGAGATCTGACTTTTAAACCAAATTGCCATTATAGATCTTTCTCAAAAGATTTTTACATCTCAGCATCATTATGCAATGCCCCAGGGTAAGTCCAGACTACCCATGAGGCCAGTGGGGAACTGTAGTGTGAGTTTCAGAGAGAGAGACAGACAGAGGTTTAAAAAATAACAAAGTCACTGTATGTGACTGAGGGGAAAAAATTCTAGATTTCCAGTATTTTCTGTGAGGCTTTATGAAGAGCCTACCCACTAAAGCAAGTGAGAACTGTTGTTCAGAATTCCTAGCTACTGTTTTAATTAACAAGATAATCTTAACATATTATATGATTCTCAGGGTTCACCTACTTTTGTATATAAAATGGGGAAGACAACAACTTCACCTTAGAGAACTACAGTGAGATTTCACTTATCTTTTTTCTGACACTAAGTGCACAATGGAAAGACCCAGGAAAGACACATCATGTTTTTGAATGCATCCAGTGTGCACTGCAGAGTTTTGGAAGGCAGTTTAAACTTACTAGCTCGTTAAGAGAAAATTCCAGAAAAAATAGACATCCTCTAAGTCACAGCATTTCTCGACCTACCATACTAGGCCCTGAAATTTGGCTAGAGGACTGGAGGAGTTCTAACCACTGAGCTAAACAACACTTTTCAGAAAGTTCCTGGCATCTCTGTTGCTGATTAGCGACTAGCAAGAACAACATGGATGCTAGAGTGAAGTGTCAACATGTCCATTTACAAAAGAAGTTCTAAATTGCAAATCTCTAGACAGCATTTTGTGAATTTAACAGACACAGTTTTGGTATTTTTTGTAGAATTATTTTGTCCACTTTTACTCACAAAATAAAAAGATGGCAAATTATAACTAGATGAAAAGGCAGTTGTGACTTTAAGATTGCTTGTACTATAGGCAAAACAGTCTCATAAAAGGTTAATTGCTATTTTTAACGGAATGCTGCTAAGTTCAAAATGTCAGCCCTTTTAACTGCACAGATACAATTAAAGTTATTATCAGGAATTAGAGTGGTTCTTGGTCACGTGATTCACATTCAATCTTTAAATCTTTTACATCATTCATCTTGGTGAATTTTTATAAAGAGAATTTGTAGAGTACTTGTTTTCAAGGTCAGCTTCTACACTGAAAGCTCTAAATTATCATAACAGTTACTGATGACTAGCTATATACCTTATTGCCATAAACTGTAATGGAAGGTTACATTGGGGTTGGCTTGCATGAGCAATTAAAGAGTAAATGACCAGTAGGTAATTATAAAAATAATGTTAGCAATGAAAACTTAAAATAACTGGCTTCTCACCTTACCAAAGCAAGATTTTTTTAAAGCCCCAATGATATCATAAGTTTAGGGAGATGGAGCTCCCATATACTACTGTGTAAACACCATAAGAAGGTTTTTGTATTATTTTTTATACTGTTGATTCCATGCCCCAAGTAACACAAACGTAGGTTCTCATTTGTTAAATGGGTGAATGGAAACTTTACTGTTGTGTGCATAAATTGGCAGTTTTTTTTTATAATTATTTTTGAGCTATGATTGATATGGTTTTTATTTTATTTTATTTTATTTTATGTGGATTTTTTTTTTTAAGATTTATTTATTT